CCCCCCCCCCTCGGCTCAGGGCACAGCTGGAGTGCGTTGACACTGCCGCCTGGTCAGTGTGGCAAGCAGGAGGCCGGATGGTGACATCAAGCGTCTTTGGTCTCTGTCACCTTGTCTTTCCTATTTTGAAAAGTGTCAGGCTCTACAGAGTGTGACAGTCTGTCCCATTGACATGTGGCACTCAGAGGACTACAGAGCCAGGATCCTGCTGCACTGGGGCGTCTCCCTCTCCTTTCTAAAGCGCCGTGCAGGCAGGTTTGCTCAGAAGATGAAGCACCTGACTTCCATGGCACTCTGTGATTTTTGTAGTGCATGATATTGCACACAGTTGACTACTCACTGAAAAAAGTAGTTATTTGCCAGTGGATCCCTTAAATGGCCCTGAGGATTTATTTCTGTGTTTACCACTGGAAATGCACCACAACTAATTGGCTGCTATGTGTAACGTATACAAATCCCATCTTGTGTGTCTGTCACTTTTTACACTTTAGAAATATATAAAGAAATCCAGCTTACGAAAAAATTAAATATATTAAATGCTATCACCAAAAACCACAATGAAGGATGCAATCAGATTTTAGGCAAACTCATGGGTGATCGTCTGAACAAAACTGGTGTTCTGTTAATTTTAAAAACCCACATGAAACCAAAACACCACGATATCCTTCCAAGACCAAATTTCCTGTTCCAGTTTTAAGCTGAACTAGCTTAACCAGAGATAAACTAAAAGGCTTGTAGGTGATATTTGGCCACACAATTGCTAACCCCAAAAGAAATAATCAAGGTAAAGTTTCGGTAAACTGAAAATGCTAACTCCATTGTAAAATGAGCCAGCTTGTTTGACATTCTCCTTATCCTTCTCCCTGTCTCCTAAAATAGCACGAGGTAACAATAGGAAAGTAAAAGCAAAGCTGCATTGATGGCAAACACAGGATAGGGCTGATCCAGTGAAGGAGCCATAACGCTGGGCTATCACCCTGCACTGGTACATTTCAAACTGCCCAGATAAAGCAGGAAATTCTACTTAAGTGACTCTATAATGTAATATAAGCATATATGTGTCTTTTATATACTTCAACTTTCATTATCATATGCATGCAGTGCAACACTCCAATGTCATCAGATGACAGGGAGTCTCGTGTAACACGGATAAACCCTGATAATGCAGTACTGCCACAGCCCTTAATGTGGAGGAACATTGCTGACCGATAACACATACGCCACACACAAGCCTGACATCATTTATTTATAGTCAACATTCTTATTATTAAAATTAGTCGTTTGTTGCAATATACCACAGAGTTCATGCATTTTGTATCTCCAGCTTCACATACAGTCAGCAATACTTCGCTGAAGTTACATTAAAAATTCATACAGAAAGACCACGTTCACTGGATGAAAGGCATCCCTTGTTCCGTTCTTTTGCGGGTCGATTGATGATACGTGCACGGACGGGATGCGGGACAAAGTATACTGCAGGAAGACGTAAGTTTAACATCCTGACTGGAGGTGGCGATTGACTAATAAAGGCTGGGGTAATTAAGCTCACTTAGCAAACCCTTGTACATACAAGAGTCATTTATCTTAAAATCACCGCATATATTTATCTAATGTAGATTAGCTTTACTGCAGGGAATAATGCAGCAATAAAAAGATGAGCCCGTGAGAAATCGCTTCTCTTACCGCTGTCAGACAGCAACCTGCAGGCATCAGACAAGCCTGTAGTAACCGGTTACAAAGGGTAGAGGTAGGTTATCCGGGGGCAGGGCGATTTAGATTTATTCCAGTTCATCTCAGTTTTGACGTCCTTAATGTTTTAACGTGGCACTCGTTTTGTTTTAGTATAGACCAAGTATTGCGAGATGTGGTCACGTCTAAAAAATTCAAGGTTTGATACCTGCGGTTTCACAGCGATGAATGTACAGCGTCTGCTCTGGTGTCCGGGACGCTGGGAAATATGCGAGATCATCACATCTCCATGCTTTTTAATCCTGGGCTCTACGTATTCTGTTTCAGGGAGAGGAAATTGCCGAATACGAGGATTTTTAAGTATCTGACACCGGTCAACTAAATATTTGAAGGACCTGCGAACGACTTCAGTACATATAAATCTCTATCTGCATTATGTGCATTGCCCTTGAAATAGGTAGAAACGCTTTTGGATTGTTGCATGGAATATAAAAAAAAGCTGGAATGCCGATCTTGGCTTAAGGATTGCGAAAGTTTAACAGTATTAAACTAATCTTGCAATTAAGTCAAGTCCTAGTATGTTTTGTAAATAGTTCTCCGAACTGCATCCAAGGAAGCTGACATCTTTGGAAGTTGTCCCATTTTTGGTCGGCAAAGAAGAGGACTAGGAAAGACAGAACGCACCTTTTCCCACTTGGCCCTTCCCCTTTAATTGCTGCGTCGCCCTTGCTCTCGCTGCTGGATCCTGTCCGATTCCCTGGAGACTCCAGGGAGCGGAGGATGAAGTAGCGCTCCAGACCGGGATCATGGCGGCACCGATCGGCCGGGACACCCTACCTGATCACTGGTCCTACGGAGTCTGCAGAGATGGAAGGGTGTTTTTCATCAAGTCAGCATCCACTTTGCTGCTAAGCTTTTCCAACCTACTCACTTCCAAGAAAATTTGCATTAGTAGAGTGTTTGCGTTTTTTTCTTAGTAACAGGTGTTTTTGTTTCATTGCAGTGACGAAACTCGCAGCACTACTTGGCTCCATCCTCGTACTAGTGAACCTGTCAACTCTGGGCATATGATCCGCTCAGGTACTGGTAAAAAAATCATTAGGTCGATTGCGACACTACCATGTGCATGATCGAACTAAGTGCCGAGACAAGGTTTCGTGCATTAACAGTAAGATCTCACGGGTTGTTTTCCCCTGTAGACTTACCACGGGGCTGGGAAGAAGGTTTTACAGAAGAAGGAGCCAGCTACTTTATAGAGTAAGTAGTATGTCTTTTTAGACGACTGTGCATTGTGTATGAATTAGGTGAACCTAATGACCGCGCTGCATTTTTCATTCATGTCTTATAAAGTTGAATGTCACGCCGATATATTGACCTACAACGGGATATTGGTCCAGAGGCGAACTTCAGCAATTGTTGCAGTTATCCTGTGTTCATCAGATAAAAAGCAGTGACCATTTCTTAGGCAAAATCTGTTTAAATGGATCAAAGTTACACCGGATACCAATTGTAAAATGATCTTTGGATTTCCTTGTTTTATTTGATTTATGTAGGTCTATTAAAGTTTTCTGTGTATCTGTGTCCAAGTCCTGTTCAATAAGAAATTCCAGTTTTCTCCCTACAAAGCAAGGGCTGTGGTAATGGCATGGGGGGGGTTGGCTGTGCACACTGAGGTTTCTCTGAATTCTTTGGCAAAGCTGCCAAGCCAGTTAATGTGTCACGGCCAAAAAGAGAAAGTGGTTTTGAGTATTACCAGATAACCCCCCCCCCCCCGCCCCCCAGCCAAGTGGTTGTGCCCCCCTCTTGAAGGTTGCCTTGAATCATTTACCAGCCACGCAAATGTAGAGGGTTGAGTCCTGAAATACAGCCTGGCTGTGTGTTTGTGCCTCTGCTAGCGTGACGTCTCCGTGTTCACGTGAGTGCCCACATCTACTCGCACAGTCCAAAGATCGAGGGGAGGTAAACATGTGACTTTAAATAAGCCCTGTGTCTGCCCTGTGCTGATCGGCGCTCCGGTTCCCTGTGCTGTGTCATTTACCCATAACAGTTCTGTGAAAAGGCCTCACGTCACTGCATAATACAGCATACTAAATCCAAATTATATATGAAAGTTTTTTTAGCCAACAGCTCTGTGCTATTTAAGTTGTTGATCTATGGTAAGAATTGTGTGCCAGATAGTGTCTTTAGTATGTAAAGATGAATCCCAAAAACTGCCTTCTGCAGAATTCCTGTTTTTAGTAAAAGAGTAGAGACATTTTATCTGAAATTGCACCTGCAGTCCTGAGTTCTCTTCACTTTGCTCTTATAGTTTTTCACCCAGTGAGATTTGTTGTGCCCTGTCTTGTGCCGGCAGATTTTGTTTCTGTTACTCTTGCACAAGGTACACAGGGCATGAACCTTGGACACTATACATACTCTCTGTCCTCTTATGTAGCTACTGTAAGTATGGTCCTCTCTATGTATGTTTCCATAGAGAACATCAAAGCACACTTAAAATATAAATATATTTCAGAGAATATCAATTTTATTATTTTTCTGAGGCTGTTTGTAGGAATGTAAACCATTCTGTAGAATTTTATGACCAGAAGTTCCAGTCTAGTAGTAGTAGCCAGTTGTAGTAAATAATTGACTTTTCTTGCTTGAAAACATTTCGGCCACATGAATGCTGAACGCCATCAAATATCAGGGGGGAGCGTTAATTCACCCTCATATGTGAAGTGTACCACATGTATCTGTCTATCTGTCAGACAGACTAGGCAGAATTAAAATGTGGTGTATAAGGTTTCTGGTTCTCCATTGTCCTGGAGCAATGAAGGATGCCTTACTGTGGCCTTATCTTAGCTTTGACCCACTAGGGGGCAATACAGAGTTTTAGTGGATTTCCAGCGTTGGATCAATTAATTATATCTGCCTAATATACCGTATATAATCTAATATGCAGTCAGGCCCATAAATACCACAATAAATTTTAAAAGAAACAAGTCAGATGCAGTTGAAGTGCTAAGTGTGCTTTGATGTTCTCTATGGAAACATACATAGAGAGAGTCAGATGCAGTTGAAGTGCAGACTTTCAGCTTTAATTCAGTGTGTAGAACAAAAACATTGAATAAAAATGTGGGGAACTAAAGTAATTTTTCTACACAATCCCCTCCTTTCAGGGGCTCATAAGTAATTGGACAAATTAATATAACTGCAAATAAAATGTTCAGTTCTAATACTTAGTTGAAAACCCTTTGCAGACAATGACTGTCTGCAAGTCTTGAACTCATGGACTTGACCAGACGCTGGGTTTCCTCCTTTTTAATGCTCTGCCAGGCCTTTACTGCAGCAGCTTTCAGTTGCTGTTTGTTTGAGGGTCTTTCTGTCTGTAGTTTAGTCTTTAGCAAGTGAAATGCATGCTCAATGGGGTTGAGATCAGGTGACTGACTTGGCCATTCGAGAATATTCCACTTCTTTGCTTTAATAAAGTCCTGGGTTGCTTATGCTGTGTGTTTTGGGTCATTGTCCATCTGTATTATGAAACGCCGCCCAATCAATTTGGCTGCATTTGGCTGGATTTGAGCAGACATGATGTCTCTGAACACCTCAGCATTCATTCGGCTGCTTCCATCCTGGGTCATAAAGAATAAAGAAACACTAAAGACCCAGTGCCACTGGCAGCCATGCACGCCCAAGCCATCACACTGTCCCCACCATGTTTTACAGATGATGCAGTGTTCTTTGGATCATAAGCTGTTCCAGCCCTTCTACATACTTTTTTTCTTTCCATCATTCTGATACAGGTTGATCTTGGTTTTATCTGTCCAAAGAATGCTGGCTTTTTTAGATGTCCAATCTAGCCTTTCTATTCATAAGGCTTATGAGTGGCTTGCATCTTGCAGTGAACCCTCTGTATTTGCTTTCATGCAGTCTTCCCTTTATGGTAGACTTGGATATTGATACGCCTACCTCCTGGAGAGTGTTGTTCACTTGGGTGGCTGTTGCGAAGGGGTTTCTCTTCA